TCTGATCTCCAACTAACTACCACCACCACCACCACCACCACCACCACCAAGCCATAATGTTAGCTGGGGCTCCATTGGTAGACAGAGCTCTATCCTTGAGAACAAAGCTGAGGAACAGCACCCAGGCCTAGAGTTCAAGTCCCAGGAACACCCCGACCCCTAAAAGAAAAAGTGTGTGATGGCAGAGAAAGAGCAGAGGGCAAAGTTCAACGTGCAGAACCTAGACATCAACTGTCAGTGTGCGTCAGTTCATCCTAAATGAAGAGTCTCCAGGCCCTCAGAGCCCTCTGCGGCTCTCACCTGGGTGTTTCTCAGGCCTTTTACCTCCTGCAGTGTCTGGGCATGGCTCTGGCCCCCTCTTTCAGGTGCCTGTGAATGTGCTGGGGTTCTCCATGAGGCTCCCTACGAGCCCTCAGACCCTCGCGATGAGAGGCTCAGGAGGCCCGGGGTGAACGGATGGGAGCGTGCATCCCGCAGTTGGCATTTGCTGTCACCAACGGGACAGGCTGGCAATCAGAAGCAAAGCAGTTTGTGGAGCCCCTTGTGCTGGATACGGGCAGAAAAGGACCCACAAGCCCAAGTACATGGGGGGGGACTCACCCCAAAACTTAGTTCCTGGAGGACAGCAGCAGGAATCCCTTCTCAGGGCCCTGTTCCCATCCACCTTCCCCTTTGGCTCCACGGTGCAGGTGCATGGCACCACCTGACCACTAGGGGGCGCCCTCTAGTTGAAGAGCAGAGGAGACTCACCTTGACCAAGTGAAGCCTGAACTCAGGACTCAGGCCTTAAGTTCAAGCCCCAGGACCAGCTCACCCATATTCACATCCACACACAGCCCACACACATAAAGTCACCTGCTTCCTCTTAACAAGGGCATGAGAAATTTTGAGCTTGTAGTGATAATCTTTCTTCCCAAGAGCTTTCCAATTTATTTATTTATTTAGGTCGGTCATAGGGCCTGAACTCTTGGCCTGGGCGCTGTCCTTGAGCTCTTCAGCTCAAGGCTAGCACTCTACCACTTGAGCCACAGCACCACTCCTGGCTTTTTCTGTTTATGTGGTGCTGAGGAATGGAACCCAGGGCCTCATGCATGTGAGGCAAGCGCTCTACCACTGAGCCACCTTCCCAGCCCTGGTTTTCTAATTAAAAAAAACTGCAGTTGTATAAAATGTTTATAACTAGAAAAATAAAAAAGTCAAAATTGTAGTTTGTGTGTTTGCATGCACACACACTTGCCAGTCCTGGGGCTTGAACTCAGGACCTGGGTGTTGTTCCTAAGTTTTTGTGCTCAAGGCTGGTGCTCTACCACTTTGAGCCACACCTCCACTTCCCTTGGAGATAAGTCTCACAGTCTTCTCTGCCTGGACTGGCTTTGATTCATGATCCTCAGATCTCAGCCTCCCGTGTAGCGGGGATGATAGGCATGAGCTGACAGCACTCTGCAGGGGGTACATTTTAGATCCAATCCTGACACCATCCACACCCATTCCCTTGGGGAACGCCAGGGTCACCAGCCTCACTTTGCCCCCACTTCTCATTGGCCCAGGTAGACCTCTTGTCCTCTATTTAGGGTGGAGGGGGGGGGTGGTTAGGCCCAGTCTAAACCTCAGAGTCCCCAAGTCCTGGCTGAGCCACACACACAGCCTCAGCCTGGGGTGGCAATACTCTGCTGTGGGCCAGGCCGAGGGCCACAGCGCCACCTGCAGGGCGTCCATGGGCACATGCAGCCTGCTCAGCTCAAAGATGCAAGGTCCAAGCCAAAGTGGGAAGGCATGGGAAGGCTTTGCACCCAACGCTGCTGTGGCCCCAGGGCTGACAGCAGACAGGGAGTGAACCAGCCGTCGTCTAGAGGTGTGTGTGTGTGTGTGTGTGATCAGGCAGGTAAGGCAGAGTTGGAGCAGTCTCGCGATCATGCTGTGGGTCCAGCAGGTGTGTGTAACACAGGCCACTGTCTGCGGCAGCAGGTGCCCTGGGTGAGTGACAGGTATACAAACACCCCTTGTCACTCTCAACCCCAGGGCCAGGGGCGTCCCATCGAAGCGTGCCAGCCTGGGATGCTGCTGCCAGTCTCTGGGAAACCTCCAGAAGCTTGTCCCCTCAGGGCCATGTTCCTGGCACATCCAGAAAGAGCCTGCCCATAATCCTCAGGTGTGTGTAGCGATGCTCAGGGAAGAAGGGAGAGGAGACAAGCACTCCTACCCACCACTCAGAGATTTTTTTTTTTTTTTTTTTGGGTCCGGTCGTGGGACCTGAACTCTGGGCCTGGGCGCTGTCCCTCAGCTTTTCAGCTCAAGGCTAGTGCTCTACCACTTGAGCCACAGCGCCACTTCCGGCTTTTTTCTTTTTGATTATGTGGTGCTGAGGAATCGAACCCAGGGCCTTGAGCATGCAAGGCAAGCGCTCTACCACTGAGCCACCTTCCCAGTCCCCACTCAGAGATTTCTAGACAGTCCTTGGGGTCTCCAAGAGCCAGAACCCAGTGCTGTAGACTGGGGAGATGCCATAGCCCGAGGCTCTGGACCCAGATTCCCGGGTCTCCTCCCTCTGCAAGACCCCATCATGCCCTGTCAAGACACCTGCAGATGCCAGGCCTGGGCACTTGCCCTGATGGCAGCTCCTCGAGGCTGTGCTTTGTAGGTCAAGGGCCACCTGGCTCTCCCTACTGCCCCGCTCCCCACCTGTGCCCCCAGGTCCCAACAGGTCTCTCTGGGAGCCCTCTCCAGTCCTCACAGGGGGGAGGGACCCCCCCCCAGGCTGTCTCCTGGCTGGTTAAGAGGCTGCCACTGAAAAGCCATAGCCTAGTGCACTGCTGGCTCACACCTGTAATCTCAGCTACTCAGGAGGCTGAGATCTCAGGATTGAGGTCTGAAGCCTGGCCAGGCAGGAAAATCCATGAATGAGACTCATCTGCAATGAACCACTGAAAAGCCAGAAGTGGAGTTGTGGCTCAAGTGGTACAGTGCTAGCCTTGAGCAAAATTAAATGCTCAGAGATAACACCCAGGCCCTGAGTTGAAGCCCTAGTACTAGCGTGAAAAAAAAAGAAAAAGCCATGTTTGTTTTCTTTTCTTTCCAGTCCTGGGGCTTGAACTCACCCTGGGCACTGTCCCTGAGCTTCTTGCTCAAAGCTAGCACTCTACTACTGAGCCACAGCGACACTTCCAGCTTTTTGTGTGACCCATGGGAGGTAAGAATCTCATGGACTTTCTTGCCTGGGATGGCTTCAAATTGTGATCCTCAGATCTCAGCCTCCTGAGTAGCTAGGACAGGTGTGAGCCGCCGGCAAGGTTGGGTTTTACTCAGAGAGAATGTCTTAGCTAGCATCCCATCACGGTCCCTGTGCCGCTCAATCCCTCCTTGGTTGCCAGTGGGGCAGCTGCTGACCCCAGTTCCTCCCTCCTGGGGCCTGTAGGACTCCAGCCCCTCCCAGGTCCAAACCATGTGCAATCTTCCCCTTTGCCCCTCTGGAGAGGCCTACCTACGTCCCGATTCGCCTGAAGTTCCGAGAACTCTAGTATGAGCGTCCTAGGGAGAGTCAGCACCAGCCTCTGCCATCCTGGGGCTCTGAGGGCACCCCAAGGCCAAGAAAGAGCCAGGTCCTCTTCCAAGGCCCATGCAGGGGCGCACGCATATGAACATGCAGGTACCACGGGCACGAACACGCATGCGCACACCTGCCTGGGCCTTCCTTTGGGTGAGCTGGGCCTCAATGCAATGGCCAACGCCCAGAAGCCATGCAAACACTTCCAAGGTGCCTGGGTCTGGAGCACCGGCCTTTCAAGAGGTTAAGGGAAGGACTCTGGGCTCTGTTGGCCCCTGCACAGGTTCAATTCCCTTCCCTTCTCCCTAGAGCTTCTCAGCCTTTCTTCCAGCATCCTCTAAGAAACCCAGTCTCCCTCTTTTTGTGCTGGTCCTGGGGCTTAAACTCAGGGCCTGGGCGCTGACCCTGAGCTTTGTCACTCAAGGCTGGCGCTCTACCACCTGAGCTCAGCTCTACTTCTAGCTTTTTGGTGATTCATTGGAGATAAGTATCTCATAGACTTTCCTGCCCCAGCTGGCCTTGAATGGTAATCCTCAAATCTCGGCCTCCTGAGTAGCTGGGATTATAGGTGTGAGCCACCATGCTTGGCTTGCACTCATCTTTCAAAAAGGTTACGTACACACAATCTGACTTATGGAATTGTAACTTCTTTGTACAGCTACTTAACAAAAAAACCATCATCCAGTCCACGCTACCCCACACTCACGTCAGAAAAGCAGGCCCACACGGTGAGATTTTCAGAGGAATTTATACAAAAATAGTTTAAAACTACAACGTTCTTTTCCACCTGAAGTTTAGACATGTGATACGCAAATGGGGACACGTATTGTGGAGTCGGCTGTAACTTTAAGAAATAATCAGTTGGGCCCAAATTCTTAGAATGAAAACACGAGTCTTTTAAAGTATAATGAAGATATCCTCAAAGGAAAACCAACCAAAACAACAACAGGAACAACCCCAAAACTTAATTTAAGTCAAATCCTATCATGTTTGTCCTGGGGCGGGAAGCAGTGTGCTGCCCGCACACAGGTGTGTCCTGAGCCAGGTGCACAGGGCGCCCCCTTGTGGTCCCGCTTCACCATGACCAGGGGCTGTCCATCTGCCAAGGAAGGGGGGCTGCCCCCACCCAAGCCAGGATCCAGAAGACCTAGGGGAGACCCCCCTCAAGGCCATGGCCAATCTCCACAATTTCCCCCAGGATGCCTTTCCTCCCCCTCACGCTGGGACCCTTTCCCACCCACCAGTGGGCAAAAACTAAAAACTCACAAACCTGAGCACCACATCACCACCACCAAACCCTGCTTGGGGGCGAGTGGATTTGGACAAGGCCCCAGGCCTCTTAACTTATGTTGTGCCAGTACGGGGGGGACTTGAACTCAAGATCTCACCCTCTCGTTCGGTGTCCATCCCCTCCCTCCCAAGGCTGGCTCTCTACCACTTGAACCACACCTCGACTTCTGGCTTTTTTTTGGGGGGGGTGTGCGAAGTGAGGGGTGGCAGGCAGGTCCTGAGGCTTGAACCCTGGGAAGTGCGTGCTGGTGTCTGGTGGCTCCCTGTGTCCAGCGGGAAGGGGTGCTGAGAGGCACAGACGGTGAATAAATAGAAGTAGCTTGGCTCAGGGGTCCAGCCCCTGGGGACGGGACAGCAGCTGGGTGGGAGGAGTGGGTGCGGAGAGGCATGGAAGCAAGCGAGCCACGCGGAGCCCGGGCCACTCGTCCAATCCTGCCCTGTCAGAGCTCAGTGACGCGCGCGGTGGCGGAGGGAAGCAGGCTGGACCCCAGGCGCCGCAGGTGGCACCGGCGGCAGAGCAGGTGGCCCTCCAGTGGGTAGCAGCGCCGTCCATCCTCACCGCTCAGCTGGAGCCTGCAGTCCTAGGGAAGGGCAGGGTGGCCCAGGGTAAGCGGGGAGCGGGCCTGTCATGGATGGGGGAAGCCAGAGGGGCTGGAGAAAGCTTGGCCCTAACCACAGCGGTTGAGTAGTCCGGCCGCACCCAATGGTAGTTATGGGTGGCCACACCCAATGGTAGTTATGAGTATCGGCCCACAATGTGGCAGTTAAACAAGCCTGATGGCTCAGTGGTAGAGTGTTTGCCTTGCATGCATGAGGCCCTGGGTTCGATTCCTCAGCACCACATAAGCACAAAAAGCCGGAAATGGCGCTGTGGCTCATGTGGTAGAGCGCTAGCCTTGAGCTGAAGAGCCCAGAGTTCAAGCCCCAGGACCAACCAAAAACAAACACAAAAGAAAAAACAAAAACAAACCCAAGCTACTCAGAAGGCTGAGATCTGAGAATCCCAGTTCCAAGCCAACCGTGGGGAAGACAAATCCAAAAGACTCTGATCTTCAGTTAACACCAATAAAACAAAAAATGGATATGGCTCAAAAGCCTTGAGCATCAAAGCTCAGGGAAGCCAGCACCCGTGGCTCACGCCTGTAATCCTAGCTACTCTAGGAGGCTGGGATCTGAGGGTCACAGTTCAAAGCCAGCCCGGTCAGGAAGGACTCTTATCTCCAATAAATCACTCAGAAAACCAGAAGTGGCGCTGTGACTCCTGTGGTAGAGCGCTCACCTTGAGCTGAAGAGCTAAGGGACAGAGTTCAAGCCCCACAAACAACAACAACAACAACAACAACAAAAGCTCAGAGACAGCACCCAGGCCCTGAGTTCCAGTCCCAGGACTAGCACATGCATGCACGCACACGTGCGCACACTCAGAGCTGGGATGCAGCGGGTGGGAACATGCACTCAGTGCAGGAGGCGTGCGGTGAGCGGGCCAGCAGGGAGTCCCGGGCTCACCTCGCAGTGGTAACACTCCACGTGGTAGTTTCTGTCCATGGACACCACACGGATGGTGGTCTCACAGCCCTGGAGAGGGAGACAGGACTCACACACAGAAGTGCCCTGGACATGCCAGCCCACAAATCTCTGGACACAGCCATGATGGGGCTGTGTGCACCCCGATCCGACGTTTCCCTGGATCGCCACAAGCACAAGCAGGGACACACATGTGGTTTACGATACCTCGGGTATGGCGTGCACACAGGTAGGCCCATGCACACGTACTCGGTCTCTTGCGCACCACAGGGTGTCATTCCATGTGCATTCAAGACCACTGTTAGCAGGACGCTGGTGGCTCAGGCCTGTCATCCTAGCTACTCAGGAGGCTGAGATCTGAGGATCCAGGTTTGAAGCCAGACCAGGCGGGAAAGTCCATGAGACTCCGATCGCCAATAAACTACTCAGAAAAAGCCCTATGTGGCGCTGTGGCTCAAGTGGTAGAGCACTAGCCTTGAGCTAAAGAGCTGAGGGGCAGCGCCCAGGCCCAGAGTTCAGGCCCCATGACCAACAAAAAAAAGAAAAAAAAAGTTCTCTAGTATCTTGCAAATCAACCAGCAAAAAGCTGGAAATAGCTTAGATGGAAGAGAACCAGCCTTGAGCAAAACAAAACAATCCCCAAACCCAAACCAAACCAAACCAAATCCACACAAGCTCAGCAACAACGCCTACACCTAGAGTTCCAGCCCCAGGACTGGCACCAAAAAGAAAAAGAGCAAAGAGCACTGTCAGCAGGCTGGAGTGAGGACCAGACAGACACAGCACGCTGAGACAGCCATCGGACGGCTGCTAAACACATGGCCTTCTTCCTCTGTTCCCCTGGCCTATCCAACCTGGACCGCAGAACCGAATGGGCCCAGGGAGCGGCCTGTGGGGGTGGCATGGGGTGCCCAGGCTGTGTGTGTCAGGAGGGGGGAGACTACATCTCCATGTGACTCCATGTTTGGTGCCGCCTGTTGATCCCTCCCACGGAGGCCCAGGAACCGCCCACCCTCACGTGAGCCATGGTCCCTACCTGTGCTGGGAGGATGGGGTGGGCGCACGAGGCACATTTTGGTGCAAATACCCTGAAAGAATAAAAGCAACAACCGCAAGTGATCAGAGGCCAAAGGCACAGGGGTGGTTGTGCCTACAGCAGCCCCCCTGGCACGGCCCAGGTGCAGGTCTCTCCTGCCAGTTAAGACAAGGTACCTTGGCTGGAAAAGTGGCGTCTGTGGAGCTTTCTTGGTATTAAACTTTTACCACGTTCCCTGATTCGCCTCCACAGCCGGCGGTCTGGAGGCTGCAGGCTCTGTCAGGCCAGGTCTTTCTACGTCCAGTAATTTAATGCCCTCCCCTAATATCCAGACCTGGGTCACCTCAGGCTGAGACCCTTGCTAGGGCCTGGCTCTACCCGAGTGCCAAAGAACAGATGCCCAGCACTGACTTTTAAGCCAGCCACATAGGGGCTGGGAAGGTGGTTTAGTGGTAGACTGCCTGCCTAGCATGCATGAAGCCCTGGGTTCCATTCCTCAGTACCTCCATACACAGAAAAAGCCGGAAGTGGCGCTGTGGCTCAAGGGGTAGAGTGCTAGCCTTGAACAAAAGAAGCTCAGGGACAGCGCCTAGGCCCTGAGTTCAAGCCCTAGGACTGGCAGAAAAAAAGAAGCCAAATGCACAGGACCCAGAGCTTCCAGCCTGCAGCCACAGCTGCTGATGTGAGCAGCAGACAGGCAGGACAGGGGTCTGCAGGATCCCCTCATCTCCTCCCACCCTAGTTCAACGCAGCCCGGCCCGGGACAGCGGGCTGGATGGCACAGAGGACAGTCTACGTTGGCGAGGGGACACATGCCTGGAGAGGCAGGGGGAAGAGGCAGGAGGTGGCTATCTGGGGTCAGACGGAGAGGACTGTCCTGCTCCTCCCCCCCCCCCCCCCCCAGGGACAGTGAGGACCCGAAGGGCAAGACCTCCAGGACGCAGGCAGAAAAGTGCCCCTGGGGCTCACACTGTGGTCCCAGTCACTCCAGAGGCTGACATCTGAGAACCACTGTTCAAAGCCAGCCCGGGCAGAAAAGTCTGGGAGATCTCTTTTCTCCAGTGATCCAGCAGAAAGTGAGGAGTGGAGGTGTGGCTCAAGTGGTAGAGCGCCAGCCTTGAGTGAAAAAGTGATGGGAAACGGGTGCTGGTGGTGGCTCACGCCTCTCTTCCTAGCTATTCAGGAGAGACTGAGATCTGAGGATCGTGGTTCGAAGCCAACCCTGGGCAGGAAAGTCGGTGAGACTTTTCTTTCCAATGAACCGGCAAAAAGTCAGAAATGATGCTGTGGCTTAAAGTGGTAGAGCGCCAGCCTTGAGCGAAAGAAGCTCAGGGACAGCACTCAGGCCCTGAGTTCAAACCCCAAGACAGACACAAAAGAAAACAAGTACTGGTTGGGGGGTCCAGCCGGGGTGGGGACGGGGGGCCTCCTGTGTGCGGGCCACTCACGCGTGATAGTCTCTGACACAGTAGATCTTGTTCTGCACGTCCACCGTGAACGGCACCCCGTCCAGACACTCGTTACACACGCAGCAGCGGAAGCAGCCGGGGTGGTAAGACTTGCCCAGGGCCTGCAGGATCTGGGGATGGAAGGTGTTCAAGGCTGCCCCTAAAGGGATCCCCAGCAGGCGTGGAGCGGGCGGCAGGGTGGGGTCTGAGGGGCGCTAGCGAGCGGGGGACGGGGGGGGGGGGGGGGGGGGGGGAGTGCTCACCATGTCCATGATCAGGTGTCCGCACACGCTGCACTTGTCGGCCGTTTGCTGGAACCCAGAGTACTGAGCGGAGGGAATACAGGACACTGGAAGTTGGGTGCTCCAAAGGTCCCCGGCTCCCACCCATGGCACAGCCCGAGGGCCCAGCCTGAACTCACCAGGAAGTCCTCCTGGCAGTACACCTTCTCGCCCACGTTGTAGAACGCCTTGCCTCGGAGTCGTCTCCCTGTAAGGGGAAGGGGGGGGGGGGGAGAGAAGGGGGTCTCTGGTATGTTAGGACCAGGGAAGGCCCCTTACAGAACTTCCCTCCAACTGATGAGCTGTGGACTACAGATGTACTTTTCAATTTCTCATACACACACACACACATTTTTTTTTTTAATGTCAGTCCTGAGACTTGAACTCAGGGCCTAGGTGCTGTCCCTTAGCCTTTTCTATTAAGGCTGGCATTCTAACTAACACTTGAGCTCTATGCCTGGCTTTTTAGGTGTTTACCTGGAGATAAGCGCCTCATGGACTATCCTGAATCCCTGTCCTTGGATCTCAGCCTCCTGAGTAACTAGGATTACAGGCATGAGCTACCAGAGCCTGATGAATTTCTTTTGAATGTTATATCATTATTACTTAGCAAGATGATACAGCCAAGTGCTGGTGGCTCACGCCTGCCATTCTAGCTACTCAGGAGGCTGAAATCTGAGGATCACCATTCAAAGCCAGCCATGAGACTCTGATCTCCAATGAACCACCAGAAAACCAGAAGAGGTGCTGTGGCTCAAGTGGTAGAGCGCTAGCCTTGAGCTGAAGAGTTGAGGGACAGCCCCCAGGCCCAAGTTCAGGCCCGATGACGGACAAAAAAAAAAAAAGATGACACACATGAATCCATAAACATTGGACGTACCATACTTTGGGCACCAGTATAAGCTCACACCTGTAATTCCAGCTACTCAGGAGGCTGAGATCTGAGGATCCCGGTTTGAAGCCCGTCTGGGTAGGAAAGTCCAAAAGACTCTTATCTCCAATTAACCACCAAAAAGCAAGAAGTGGAGCTGTGGCTCAAGTGGTAGAGCATCAGCCTTCAGTGCAAAAGCTAAGCACGATCATGAGAGCCAGTGTTCAAGACTTGTACCCCCCCCCAAAAAAAAAGAACCTCACAGACTTTTCTGCCCAGGCTGGCTTTGAACTACTATCCTCAGGTCTCAGCCTCTGAGTAGCTAGGATGACAGATGTGAGCCACCAGTACCCAACTGAATTTTCTTATTGTTTCCTTCATGACTATTAATAGATCTTGTTTTGTTGAAGTCTGTTTAAAGCTTTTGCCACCCCTTTCCCCCATTTTTTGTGTTGGTACAAGTCTTTTTTTTTTTTTTTTTTGGGTCCGGTCGTGGGGCCTGTGCACTGTCCCTCAGCTCTTCAGCTCAAAGCTAGTGCTCTACCACTTGAGCAACAGCGCCACGTTTGGCTTTTTTCTTTTTGCTTATGAGGAATCGAACCCAGGGCCTCATGCATGCAAGGCAATCGCTCTACCACTGAGCCACCTTCCCAGCCCTGTGAGGTTCTTATCTCCAGTGAACCACCAAAAAAGCTGGAAGTGGAGCTGTGGTTTAAGTGGTAGGGTGCTAGCCTTGAATAAAAAAGCTCAGGGACAGCGGTCAGGTCCTGGGTTCAATGGTCAGGACCAGTGTGTGTGCGTGCACACACACACACACACACACACACACACACACACACACACACACACACACAAATCAAACTAAAACTTTAAAGTGATAGTAGCTATTGGAATGGCCTATTGAAAAGGCTAAATCAAGTAGCAGCTGTTTGCAGGTACATAGGATAAACCAAATAGCATTTCCAGCGGGACAGGGAGGGAGGATAAGGGTTCTAGGAAAAAAGTTTGGCAGTTTTTTTTTTTTTTTACAAAGTTAAACATACATTCACCCTATGAACCAGAAATTCCACTTCTTGGAATTTACTCAGGAGAAATAAAAACAAATATGCACAGAGTGACCTCTCCAGGGATGTCTACAGCACAATCTAGTCTGTACCAACAATTCAACGGGCTGGGGCGCCGGTGGCTCATGCCTGACATCCTAGCAACTTAGGAGGCTCAGATCTGAGGACCATGGTTCGAGTCAAGGCAGGAAAGTCCATGAGACATACCACCCCCTCCAACCCCCCAGCTTGTGGGGCTTGAACTCAGGGCCTGAGCGCTGTCCCTCAGCCTCTTTGTGCTCAAAGCTAGTGCTTTACCACTTGAGTTGCAGTGCCACTTCCTGTTTTTTAGTGGCTAATTGGAGGTAAGAGTCTCATGGGGCCTTTTCTTCTTGGGCTGGCTTTGAACTGGGATCCTTAGCTCTCAGCCTCCTGAGTAGCTAAGATTATAGGCATGAGCCACAGGTGCTTGGCAATGAAACTCTATCTCCAATGAACCACCAAAAAAAGTGGGAAGTAGAGGTGAGGCTCAAGTAGTATAATGCCATCCTTGCTTGAGTCAAAAAGCTCAGGGAAAGCCGGGCGCTGGTGGCTCACGCCTGTAATCCCAGCTACTCAGGAGGCTGAGATCTGAGGATCGCGGTTCAAAGCCAGCCCAGGCAGGAGAGACCGTGAGACTCCTATCTCCAATAAACCACCAGAAAACCGGAAGTGGCGCTGTAGCTCAAGTGGTAGAGCGCTCGCCTTGAGCTGAAGAGCTGAGGGACAGCGCCCAGGCCCAGAGTTCAAGCCCCACGACCGACAAAAAAAAAAAAAAAAAAGCTCTGGGACAGTGCCCAGGTCCTGAGTTCAAGCCCTAATACTAGCACAGACATTTAATGCAAATAAACCAAATATATCTGCTTGGGGGCCAAGTCTGGTTTTGTGTTTTGTTTTTAAACCACAGGTGGAAAATCTCAAGTACAGATTTATTAATATAGTTAAGATTCCTCTTACTTTTTCTTCTTGACAACTTTTTTTTTTTTTTTTCATTGTGGGGTTTGAATTCAGGGCTTGGGAGCTATCTAGCACTCAAACACTCTGAGCCACAGCTCTACTTCCGCTTTTCTGGTGGTTCATCGGAGATAAAAGTCTCACAAGCTTTCCTGCTCTGGCTGGCTTTGAACTGCAATCCTCAGAACTCAGCTTCCCGACTAGCTAGGATGACAGATGTGAGCCACCAGCGCCCAGCTTCTTTACCACTTTGCCTAGGTTAAATGATAACATTTGTAGTTGACATTGGTACAAAATAGAGACAGAAGAAACAACTAGAGGAAAGTAGTTTGAAGGTCAGCTTTATGTCCCGAGCAGCAGAGGGCTCCCAGGCCACACCAATTCCCTGCACAGAGGACAGGAAGCAGTGTCTCTCCCCAGGGGTCCCAGGGGTCCCTCCCCAAGAAGGCCACAGGACATTTGCACAGGAAGACTGCAACCAGGTTCCTCCATACCCCAGCCTGAGCCCTGGGTGCAAGGAGATGATGGGGGAAGAGGAGGGGCTTGGAGAGCACCTACCACAGGAGTCACAGATGAAGCAGTCAGTGTGGTAGAGGCTGCCCATAGCCTGGCACGCCTGCCTGGCTCCATAGATACCCAGGCCGCACTTGATGCACATGCCTGCGGGAAGGGCGGGACAGAGCGGCGGCTGGCATCTCAAGCTGAGGAGTCAGATGACAGGTGTCATGCTGGCTGGCTTTCCCCAGACACAGGTGCTGCAGGTGCCCACCACTGAGGGTTTGGTGCTGCTGTTGTGTGAGGACGAGAAGCACTCGGGACAGCACCTGGAGGTTGACCCTCGGTGTACTGCATGTTTAGTTAGGAACACCGTCCTACAGCCCACACCTCCTCCTGGACTGAAAGAATATTCTTTCTGCTGTCTGTGAACCCAATCTTCAAGAATGGAAATACAGACAGGCCTATCATCCTAGCTACTCAGGAGGCTGAGATCTGAGGATCTCGGTTCAAAGCCAGCCTGGGCAGGAAAGTCCATGAGACTCTTTTTTTTTTTTTTTGGGTCCGGGCGTGGGGCCTGAACTCTGGGCCTGGGCGCTGTCCCTCAGCTCTTCAGCTCAAGGCTAGCGCTCTACCACTTGAGCCACAGCGCCACTTCCGGCTTTTTTCCTTTTTGCTTATGTGGTGCTGAGGAATCGAACCCAGGGCCTCAGGCATGCAAGGCAAGCGCTCTACCACTGAGCCACCTTCCCAGCCCCCTCCATGAGACTCTTATCTCCAATCAACCCATAGAAAACCGCAAGTGGAGCTGTGGCTCAAAGTGGTAGCCTGTTAGCCTGGAGATGAAGAGCTGAGGGACAGCGCCCGGGCTGTCTCCCCCACCCCTGGGCTGTGCCAGCAGCAGGCAGCTCCTCCTTCCCTCCCTGCTGCCAGGCCAGCTGACAGCGGCCTCGCAATCTGCCAGGCCATGACCTTTCACCCTGACCACCCCATCCCAAGCACACCTCCCACAAACGCACACATGCCCTTCACCCCCGACTTCTTGCATTGAGAACCCACACTCCCCCCCCCCCCCACCTGGCCGTCTGGAGTGGCCAGAGCCACTGAATCCAAGAAAAGAAACCCACCCAGGCCTCCTCCCCTCGCCCGGACACCGCCAAAACCCTGCTGACTCCTCTGCGGGCGGACAGCCTCCCCTGTCCTGACGACCTGTCCTCCTCCTCCCCAGCCCAGCTCTGTCCTGAGGACCCCGGTCCCTGTCCTTGTCCCGTCCTCCCGACCCCGTCCCGTCTCGGTCCCCGTCCTCCAGTTCAAGTCCCGGATCCGTCCCATCTCCATCCCCGACCCGTCCCCATCCCGGTCCCCGTCCTCTGGCCCCCGTCCCCGTCCTCCCGTCCTACTGCCCCTCTCCCTGTCCTCCCGTCTCCGTCCTCCCGTCCCCGTCCTCCCGTCTCCGTCCTCCCGCCCCCGTCCTCCCGTCCCCGTCCTCCGGCCCCCGTCCCCGTCCTCCCGCCCCCGTCCTCCCGCCCCCGTCCTCCGGCCCCCGTCTCCGTCCTCCCGCCCCCGTCCTCCCGTCCCCGTCCTCCCGTCCCCATCCCTGTCCCCGTCCTCCTGTCCCCATCCCTGTCCCCGTCCTCCGGCCCCCGTCTCCGTCCTCCCGTCCCTGTCCTCGTCCTCCCGTCCCCGTCCTCCCGTCCCCATCCCTGTCCCCGTCCTCCGGCCCCCGTCCCCGTCCTCCCGTCCCTGTCCTCGTCCTCCCGTCCCCGTCCTCCCGCCCCCGTCCTCCGGCCCCCGTCCTCCCGTCCCCGTCCTCCGTCCTCCCGTCCCCGTCCTCCCGTCCCCATCCCTGTCCCCGTCCTCCGGCCCCCGTCCCCGTCCTCCCGCCCGCGTCCTCCGGCCCCCGTCCCCGTCCTCCTGTCCCTGTCCTCGTCCTCCCGTCCCTGTCCCTGTCCCTGTCCCCGTCCTCCGGCCCCCGTCCCCGTCCTCCGTCCTCCCGTCCCCGTCCTCCAGCCTCCGTCCTCCATCCTCCCGCCCCCGTCCTCCAGCCTCCGTCCTCCCGTCCTCGTCCTCCAGCCTCCGTCCTCCCGTCCCCGTCCTCCCGTCCCCGTCCTCCCGTCCCCGTCCTCCGTCCTCCAGCCTCCGTCCTCCGGTCCCCGTCCTCCCGCCCCCGTCCTCCAGCCTCCGTCCTCCCGTCCCCGTCCTCCCGTCCCCGTCCTCCGGCCCCCGTCCCCGTCCTCCCGCCCCCGTCCTCCCGTCCCCGTCCGTCCTCCCGTCCCCGTCCTCCGTCCTCCCGTCTCCGTCCTCCAGCCTCCGTCCTCCCGTCCCCGTCCTCCGTCCTCCCGTCCCCGTCCTCCCGTCCTCCGTCCTCCAGCCTCCGTCCTCCCGTCCCCGTCCTCCCGTCCCCGTCCTCCCGTCCCTGTCCTCCGGCCCCCGTCCTCCGGCCCCCGTCCTCCCGTCCCCGTCCTCCCGTCCCCGTCCTCCCGTCCTCCGTCCTCCGGCCCCCGTCCCCGTCCTCCCGTCCCCGTCCTCCGTCCTCCCGTCCCCGTCCTCCCGTCCCCGTCCTCCCGTCCCCGTCCTCCCGTCCCCGTCCTCCGTCCTCCCGTCCCCGTCCTCCCGTCCCCGTCCTCCCGTCCCCGTCCTCCGGCCCCCGTCCTCCCGTCCCCGTCCTCCCGCCCCCGTCCTCCGTCCTCCCGTCCCCGTCCTCCAGCCTCCGTCCTCCGTCCTCCAGCCTCCGTCCTCCGTCCTCCCGTCCCCGTCCTCCGGCCCCCGTCTCCGTCCTCCCGTCCCCGTCCTCCGGCCCCCGTCTCCGTCCTCCCCGGGCCGGCGCTCACCGAAGAAGTCGTGCGCGCCGCGCGCCCCGAGCGCCCGGCGCAGCTCGCGGGCCAGCGTCTCCAGGCTGCGCTCGGCCGCGCCGGGGGCGGCGTGGCGGGCGGGGGGCGGCGTGGCGGCGGGGCCGGGGCGCTCGGGGGAGCGGGCGGGCGCCGGGGAGGCGGCGGGGGGCGGGAGCGGGCCGTCGGCGCCGGCCGAGCCGCGGGAGCCCAGGCTGGAGGCGCTGGAGCGGGCGCTGCCCCCCGACGGCGGCCCGGGGCCGTGGCGCGGGTCGCCCCGGGCGCAGCGCGGGCTGCCGTGGCGCTGGTCGTAGCCCAGGCTGATGCCGCTGGAGCGGGCGCTGCCGCCGCCGTCCGAGCCCGCCAGGCTGGCCCGGGGACCCCGCTCCGGCCCGGCCTCGCCGCCGGCCTTCCCCCGGCGCCCCGCGGGCGCCTCGTCCCCCGGCGCGGGCCTCGGGCCCCGCCGCCCCCGGTCCGGGGAGTCGTCGCCGCCCGCCTCCGGCTCCCGCAGGCCCAGCCCGGCCAGGAGCAGCGCCGCCTGGTCGGCCGCCGCCGCCCGGGAGCGCTGCATGGCCAGGCCCGCCGCCGGTACTAAGCGCGTCACCTCCGCTTCCCGCCGCTCCGGCCGCGCCGCTGCATGGTGGTCCCGCCCGGGGGGAGCCCGGAGCCTGCGGCCCGGGAGCGCGGAGCCCGCCCCGGGGTCCGGGGCGCGGGGCGGGGCCGGGCGCGGGGCGGGAGGAATGCGCGCGCCCCGGCCGGCCGAGGCGGGGTCGGGACGCGGCGGGGGCCGGAATGCGAGCCCGGCGACGGCGCCGCGGCCTGTGGAATGCGGGGGGCGTGGCGGCGGCCCGCGGAGCCCGGAGGGGGCGGCGGGGGCGCCGCGGCCCGCCACCGGCGCGACCCCACACCCAGCCCCGCGCGCCCGCCGCGCCCATCCGGGCCCAGGGCGCCGCAGGCAGGCGGGGCCCCGCGGGCCCGGGGGTGGCGTGGGCGCGGGACGCCGCTGCAGGCTGGCGCTCGGCCCTTGGGCCGCTGCTCCCGCGCTGGGTCTCGGGTGGTTCACCGGAGGACTTCGCTGCCCAGGCTGGCTTCGAACCTCTTAACCCCAGATCTCAGCCTCCACAGGCACCCAGCTTAGGCCCAGCTGGGACCAGCTGCTTGTCTTGAGCCATTGTGGCACTTTGGGTTTTTTGTTCGGTGGTGAACTTCTTGAAAAAGTTAGGTTTGTTTTGGAGAATAAAGCATCTTAGATTTAAGTTTTTTAAACTGGGATTTGTTTTGAATTGGATACAGAGGGAGAAAAAAGTTCATCCCGTGTTGAATGCAAATAAAAGTATTCCCAGTTTGGAGGTATTTATAAAAATGCCTCTCTAAATATATCCCCTCTAAAAGCAGTTAAGATTTTAGACTAAAGAAAAACGGCCTTCAGATGCAAACAGCCAGTCATGGTGGCTTAATGCCTGTAATCCTAACCACTCAGGAGGCTGAGGTAGGAGGATCATGTGGGAGAGGTCAGCACGAGGTACCTGTGGAGAATATGTCTCAATCATCCATAGGCAAATAAAACACACAGGGGATGCTTTCCATATTTGCAAGTTACAACCATGAGAAACATGTAGACATTCATTTCTTCTGTTGCTTTATTTTTTTTATTATGAGTCTCATCTTTTTATTTATTTATTTTGCCAGTCCTGGGTCTTGAACTCAGGGTCTAGGCACCGTCCCTGAGCTTCTTTTGCTCAAGGCTAGCACTCTACCACTTGTAGCTTTTTCTGTTTATGTGGTAATGGGGAATTGAACCCAGAGCTTCATGCATGCTAGGCAAGCCCTGTACCACTCAGTCACCTTCCCAGCCCATGTTTGGTTTATTTCAAATTTTTAAATATTTTTATGAATGTGAGGTTGGGAAGGTGGCTCAGTGGTAGAGTGTTTGCCTGGCATGCATGAGGCCCTGGGTTCGATTCCTCAGCACCACATAAGCAGAAAGAGCCAGAAGTGTCGCTGTGGCTCAAGTAGTAGAGCTCTAGCTTTGAGCTTTGAGCTGAAGGAGTGCTCAGGCCCAGAGTTCAGGTCCCACGACCGACCAAAAAAACCATAACTATATCTTTTTTTTTTTTTTTTTTTGTCGGTCATGGGGCTTGAACTCTGGGCCTGGGCGCTGTCCCTCAGCTCTTCAGCTCAAGGCGAGCGCTCTACCACTTGAGCTACAGCGGCACTTCCGGTTTTCTGGTGGTTTATTGGAGATAGGAGTCTCACGGTCTCTCCTGCCCAGGCTGGCTTTGAACCAGGATCCTCAGATCTCAGCCTCCTGAGTAGCTAGGATTACAGGTGTGAGCCACCAGCGCCCGGCCCATAACTATATCTTTATCTATATCTGTTATCTATATGGATGTTAAAAGAAAGCAAGCAAAGTGGCTTAAATCTGCTCAGGCTCCTTGGGCCATGGAACAAAGTCACTTTTAAACATATATGCCACAGACTGGTTATCTTCACTCATAGAACATGAACCAAATACCCAGGCAGCTTCTGAGTGCACTGGTAACCTCATGAGAAGACGTAAGCTCTGAGTTCTCTGGAGGTTTAGACGAACAGGGAGCCCATCGCGTCACGGGTGAGGAACAGTTCATAATCCTGAGTAACTTCCTTTTTTGGCACTTGAACTCAGGGCTGGCCGCTCATTTGTCTTTTTCATTCAAGGCTCTACACCACTTGAGCCATGTTTTGGTGGTACATTGGAGATGAGTCTCACTGACTGCTGCCTGAGGCTATGAACCATGATCCTCAGATCTCAGCCTCCTGAGTAGCTAGGATGACAGGCCTGAGCCATCCGTGCCCAGCAATGAGTGACTTTGGTCATAGGTAATATTAAATGGAAAACGGTTTTCAAAGCTGGATACCAGAAGAATGAACCATGTATATATACACTGTGTAAACCCAACAGATGTTGATTATGCTCATTTCCCCTGCATATTAGAAATTAAAAGTTGGAGGCAGGTAGGTGAGGTGTTTAGTGCTAAGTGCTCCTAAACCTAAGCCTCTATCCCCAAATGGTATCTCATGAAGCCATGTCCTCAGTATTGTCATTATATCTAAGAAAGTAAATGTATTGCTTCTGTTCCTATCTCTCCTTTGTTGAAGCGAGCTAGAGTACTGTTGCTGTGCATGCTAGGCCAACTCAGCCCTGTTTTACCTCTTCAATTTTTCTCTTAATCTAGAATCTCCTCCCCTTCATAAAAATGGCAGCCCAGCCAGTTCTGCTATAGAGTATCACACACTGTGCATTTGTCTCCTGTCTTGGCTGTTGCTATCAACTCCTCATGAAGCACCCCCCCCCCCCCCCCCGGGTCTAATGTGGAGAATGGTCCTGGGGCACCTTCGTGCAGCTCTGTCAGTGTGATCTCTGCCTGGACAGTTGTTTCCAGAGCGGCTGAACTTGCCACGCATGGAGCTCAATCTTTGGGACAATGCAGGAAAACCCTATGAGGCTAGAAGCCAGCAGCCCTGACATGTCCCCGCCTCTGGAGACCTGCTGGCACACTGTCTACCCAGGCAGGACCCACTACGAGCAGTCAGGCCTGCTTTGCTGACCAAGCCCCACCTCCCCAAGTTACAAAGATTACGTGAATGAGCAGAGACGTACTGCAATGTTTATTAAGGGATTTGCTTTTAAAAAAGGAGTCATCTATGACAACAGTGGAGATGTTTCGACCTTCACCCCTGTTCGCAGTTGTTTTTGTGGTGCTGGTGTTCGAACCTTTGGTCTTGTGCAGGAAGAGGCAGGCCAGTGCTAGTCACAGCCCCGTCCTGCAGTCAGACAGGTCGCAGAAACAGGAGCGAGCAGGCCTGGGTAACAAGTATGCAGATACCATTTATTTGGTCCATAAGTACAGAATAGTTGTTATTTGAGTTTTACAAAACATCAAATATAAATAACCTGAAACTGTTAACGATACACAAAAACTGGCTCCTGGCAGACATACTAGGCAGTACGAACTGAAAATCTGAGCAAATGAACATTGTTTTACACCAATATACAGAGTGCCAGTTAACATTTAAAAACAAGTGTCAATGCATAGCACTTAATACTTCTTCCGAATCTGTATCAGGTTAAGAGTATGAAAATGATCACATATCTAGGCTAAAAATAAGTCTTCTTCTAGCCAAAAATAAAAGCATAATATTTATAACCAGGTATCAACTTGACTAAGCCACAATATTTTTAACCTGTTACATGATACCTAAGGGTATTTACAGTACAAAGGCGACATGCACTGTGTGGTTCTGTTCCAATGACTTTGAAACTATATTCCTACTTTCCATAGAGCATACTGCAAGGTTTCTAAAGTTCTAGCAAAACGAAGGCTTTCAAAGGGAGCAGAATGTTGCTGCAAGTTGATGTTTCCCCTTTGCAACAGAGGACGAAGCGACCCACCTGGCTGTGCCCAGATGAACGCAGGAAGGCAACTGCTCAGTCTAAGGCGATGACATCATCCAGCTCTTCCGCTGTCTCTACCCGGGACCTCTTTGTGCACACTTTCTCCTCATCCAGCTTCCGCTTGCGGGTTCTCTCCTCACCAGCGCCGGTGTTATTGGAAGAACCTTCCTCGTCGGAATCAACAATGAGCACATCATCTTGCTCTTGTGCTTATGGCAGAATAAAAAGGGGGAAAAATGGTGAACAGGACCCCGCCAGGACTTCACTGGATCGAGCGCTAGCTTGGGCTGGGTGCTGGTGCCTCCTGCCTGTAAAGCTCAGATCTGAGGACTGACATTTGAAGTCAGCTAGGCCAAACCAATCTTGAGACCAGCAAAAAGCTGGAAGTGGTGTGGCTCAAGTGGTAGAGTGTCAGCCTTGGGTGAAGCAGCTGAGCAGGAGGACACCATAACAAACAAGGGCTGCTCCTGGGCCACGTGCCCATCCTCTACACCTCTCTGCTGTTTGGGGAGGGGGCGGGAAGGTGAGTGGGGACTGCAGGGAGGCATTCACCTCTGCTGTCTCAACAAGGAGTGGTTGTCAGAGGCGCTCGTGTGCTTCCCTGAGTCTCCTCAACCCTCTCCTGTCAGGCGGGCCACACCCCACTGCAGCCACAGGGACCACAGGAACAGCAGCACCTACAAGGTGCCGGGAACTGTGCACACAACAACTCATTTAATCATCACAACAACCCTATAAAAAAGATGACGTTAGTATCTGCTTTCCAGAAAGAGACACTGAGGCACAGAGACTGACCTCCCAAGTCCTACAGTAGAGGATGATGAAACCAGGGTTCAAGGTGGAGGGCTGCAAGTTGGATCCTCCTAACCTGATGGCAAGGGTGGTTTTTATCTGCCTGTTTGCTTCAACCAAAAGAGCAGAGCTGCCTACCTTACCGCTATGGCACTGGAAACGTCTATCAGTGTGGGTGCAGCGAATGTCTTCCATTATGACTTCTCAAAACCTTTTTTTGGTCAGTCTTGGCTTGAGAATTTAGGGCCTGGGAGCTGGACGTGAGCTTTTATGCTCAAAGCTAGCATTCTACCACTTTGAGCAACAGAGGCATTTCTGGTTTTCTAGTGGTGGTACACTGGAGATGAGTCTCATGGACTTTCCTGCCTGGGCTGGCTTCTAACTGTAATCCTCAGAT